GGTTCTTCATTCTCCCAGTCCCTGCCTTTGCCTTCTGTGACTTGGGCTGTGCAGCTGGAGCTCTTGCCAGTGAAGACTGAGGCAAAGAAGTCATTGAGAACCTCAGCCTTCTCCATATCCTGGGAGCCAGGTCCCCCGTTTCCTTCCGGAGCGGGCCTACATTTTCCCTAGATCTCTTTTTATCACTGACATATCTATAGAAGTTTTTCTTGTTGCCTTTGATGTCCCTGGCCAGATTTAACTCTTATCAGGGCTTTAGCTTTCCTAACCTGATCTCTGGTTGCTTGGACAATCGCTCTGTATTCTTCCCAGGCTACCTGTCCTTCTTTCCACCCTCTGTAGGCCTTCTTTTTGTGCCTGAGTTGGTCCAGGAGCTACTTGTTCATCCACACAGGCCTCTTGGTGTTCCTACCTGACTTTCTCTTTGTTGGGATGTACCACTCCTGAGCTTGGAGGAGGTGATCCTCGAATATTATCCAGCTTTCTTGGGCCCCTCTTCCCTCCAGGGCTTCATCCCATTGTACTCTAGCGAGGAGATCCCTGAAGAGGCCAAAGTCTGCTCTCCTGAAATCCAGGGTAGTGAGCCTGCTGTGCATCCTCCTTGCTTCCCTAAGAATCTTGAATTCCACCATTTCATGATCGCTGCAGCCAAGGCTTTCCTTGAGCGTCACGTTCCCCACCAGTCCTTCATTGTTGGTGAGAACCAGGTCCAGCAAAGCACCTCTCCTTGTTGGTTCCTCTGCCACTTGGAGAAGGAAGTTATCATCCATGCATTCCAGGAACCTCCTGGATTGCCTATGCCCTGCTGTGTTGTCCTTCCAACAGATATCAGGGTGGCCGAAGTCCCCCTTGAGGATCAGGGCTCGTGAATGTGAGGCAGCTCCTATCTGTCTGTAGAGGGCCTCATCCACCTGGTCCTCCTGGTCAGGTGGTCTCTAGCAGACCCCTACTACTACGTCCCCTGTCCCTGCTCTGCCTTTAATCCTAACCCATAAGCTCTCAGTTGGGACCTCATCCGTCCCCAGGTGCAGCTCCATGCACTCCAGCTGGTCTTTGACATAGTGTGCAACCCCTCCTCCTCCTCTCCTTTTCCTATCCTTCCTAAAGAGCCTGTACCCTTCTATTCTGACACTCCGGTCATTGGATTCATCCCACCACGTCTCCATGATGCCAATAAGATCATATTCCAAGTATTTCAAAAGAAGTCATTAAACTTCATTGGAATAGTTTCAATATGCTGTTAGTGTAGATTTCCCTGCTATCCAGACTGAGGGAGAAAAAGTAATAAAAGAAAGATGTCAGCTTCTTCCCATCTAAACTTAGAAAAATGAGAGAGTTGGGAGCAATCAGGAATTCTTTCATTACTTATTGTTGTGTTTACTTATTCTTTATTAAATTTGATTTTGTCTGAAGTGAAATTCAAGAAGGCATTCAGCTTCCATTTATTTCAGAGTGTTTCAAGACCATTTTGTCTATATTTCTCTCCTATTGGAAATTTAATCTGTTTGTTAACAGGGAAAGTTTTTAAACCCTTCTTTTATATTTTAAAAATCCCAACCAAGAAACAATCTTGTAGTCAATTGAAGCCTTACCCAAATATTCAGTAAGTTACCTGATCCCCAGTTTACGACTCCTTTTAAGTAGCCTTCTTGACACGCTGTGATTGTGCTTGGAAGATTTTCCTGCATTAGGATTCTGACTTCCCTAGTACCTCTTTTGCTCTGAAGATCTGTCTTTACTGATTTTATTTTTTCTTTCTTGTTTTGTGCTTTGATTTCCTGCTTTCTCCTTCAACTGCAAGGCAAAGTTTTTATAAAGGTGTTGCCTGACATGTCTTTTTGGGAGCTTCCTCTGCATCCCAATCAAGACTAACTGGGTGTTTTAGTGGTTGGGAGTATGAATACCGTTATACGATCAGCACACTGGATTGGCTTACATGTCATGCTACTGCTACCCTTAGAGAAGAAAAATTTATCATGTTTAGATTTACACCAGTCCTCCTGTGTGGCCCTGAGTGTCAGGAATGAGAATGCAGTCAGGATGTTATCTTCACAGAAGCAAATGTAAATGTTAGAAAAGATAAAATAAAAGCTACTAAGTATTTTATATGTGATTTTTACAGTCTGTGTTATTATCTGATATGTTAGCTCCTAAGTTTTAGTGAGAGCGATGAGCTGCTGTCAAAGTCCTTTTCTGGAGTATGGTAACTTCTTTCTCTTTGAGTGTCAGCAAATCTATTTTTCAGTGATGGAAATAATTTATATAATACCTATACTTCTGACTGGAAAGCTGTTACTACAGTTCTTGGACTGATTTGGTGATTTAAAACTTAATGGAAACCATTTATACTTTGCTCATAGACAAACCTGGAGAAAGGGATGAAGTGCAGTAGTTGCAATATTAAAGCTAATAGTAGAAGGACTTCAAATATACCTTCACTGTAATTACATGACAATGCAGGTTTGTTTTTTTAATGTTGTTTTTATGGTATGGATTATTACCATAAAATAGGCAGAAGAAGAAAGTGTGCTGGATTCTCTTGTGATAGCTTCTTTGATGGAAACCAACCTTAAATGACAAACACTCCCTCCCTGCCAGTGTTTAATTAAGCAAGAATCTTTTCTTAAAATGTTTCTTTTTTCACAGATGAAGATGATGATGTTGATGGATCAACACAGGGATCAGCAAAAGATATCCAGATTTCAACAGATTCAAGTAAGCAGAATTTTATTAAGTGGTGAATAGTCACCCATTCCAGTCTTTATTTATATAATCTTAACTTACTTTGCCTTATGAAAAAATTTTAAATGGCTATTTCTCTAATGCTAGGTGTCAATTTGAGGTCCAAAGTTTTGGTCCAACACACTTATCCAGGGTCTTGGAAATACCTCGTCACTATTTTCCTCTGTTAGATTGGCATAAGTGACAATCTGTTCATTACCCTGCCAAATCACCTTGGTAATCAAAGAAACAAAGTATGCTGTTAACAATCCATAGATAAGCAAACAATCTGAAGGGGAGACAGCATGTCTTCTCAAAGCCTTTCTGGATTTCAAGATAGTTGGATCCAAATCTTACTGAAGACACCAGGTGAATTTTTTTTTTTTTTTTTTTGTGCTTGGGCATGTTGCAGTAAAAGTGTGTGTGTTCCTGTGCATCAGGATTGAGCTGGGCTGGCTGCTGCTTATTCAGTTAAGTTCTTATGCGTGTGGAGTTTTCTGGGGCTGGTATTAGCTAAACTTTTATATTTCAGAAGATGAAGCCAACCGCGATTTAAGGCCATCTGACCTCCTATATCCATATTAGTAACTAGAAAAACATGGTACTTGCTACCTAACGTAACTGCATGGATTGTTGTAAAAACCAACATTTCAAATCCATAAATACAATTTTTTATCTCTTTTTTTTTTAGCCTAAAGTTCTTGCGGAATTAATAGGATAATTATGCAAATGCTGTTTGGATTTTTAAAAAATCCAACTCAATAAGTAATTAACTTAGTTATGGAAGGGATCTCAAGCACGCTCTTATTTCACTTCTTAAAATTTGAACCTGATGTCTCTTAATGACTGGAAGTTATGATCCACTACTGTGCTCCCATATTATGGGACCATGCTCTGACTGACTGCAGTTTCTCAGATAAACTTTGACTTTTTCCAGTGTTTTAAGTGATGTAAGCAGTTGAGTGTCAGGACTTTCACACTTCACCAACTAAGGCTATTTCCCTTACTCATGACTGTCAAAGAGAGCAAATCACGTATCCAGATATTTCAACTAGAGTGGTTGAAAGTACAGGACAATTCAGCTTTAGAAAGCCTTCTCCGAAGAAGGAAAAAAGATACGGAAATTGAGGGCAGGATACAAACTTTAGTATGTCTTGTATTCATACACAGTTTTGGCCTGTGGACTGGAGAAAGCAGCAGTAGATGGTACATTTTCAAGCCTCATGTGAAGAATTGTTACTTGTGTTTTAAAGAGAACAGTGGCTAAATGATTTGCTTCCTCTTAATACATTTTCGCAAAACAGAAAACAATGTAAAGCCCAGTAACTTTGCTATGGTTTAGAAAGCTCAGCAGGTAGGGAGTTGATTATAATGTCTCTTTAAACAAAGCATTCACACATACACAAAAAAAAATTAAATGTTTGAAAGCTTTAGTTTAATGGTGTTAGAGGTCTCCAAATCTGGTACCCTAGTAGAGGTGAAGCTGCAGGAGCATCCTGTCCCCTCTGTGGCTAAACAGGGGGAAGAGTGTGTGTGCGTGTGTATACATGTATGTATTCTGATACATATATATGTATATATGTACATGTATGCGTGGCTTTGTGCACGTGTGTGTGTGTGTGCATGCATATATGCGCACACACCTGTTCCCCCAACATCTCTTGGTGGACCCCTAGCCCCCACGGTCTCTCCAGCAGTCATGCTGGACCTCCTGGTCCCTGCAGTAGTCATCTCTGCCAGGTATCTCACTCAGAGATGCACGCACGCTTACCTTGCAGGCCAGTGAGTCCAGCCTGGTGTTTGCTGGTGCTCACACAACAGCTGTCACTCTGGTTGCTGGCACCACAGATGCATGGGTCACAGTGACCTGCGGTCCTGCTTCCGTTGCTGCACTCAGCATATCCATATCATAGCATATACATATCCATATGTATACATGCATGCAGAAGAATGGAAACCACACTCAAAAAAGAGTTAGAAACAGCATTTAGGCAGAAGACAGGGCAAACTGTGCTGATCAGGTGCAGGGCATGGCCAGGCAGGTGCACCAACAGGCAACCTCTTTACGTGTGACCAGCTTCTTCTTTATCCATTTTCCTGTACTTGTTCCTCCCCAAACTGCCTTGATCCCTCCCTTCTATCACCTTTGGTTCCTCCCCTAAATATCCTGTAACAACTCTTGTACAATCCCAGAATGCTCTTCCCATGCATCTCATACTGCTCTACACCCTGAGTGACCTCCTCAGTCAGTAACGTGACCCACGGAGCTTCTTCTGCAGATGTACCTGCTGAGTGTCACCCCAGCTCATGGGGCTGATGGCCTTGCATCAGGGCAGAGCATGCTTTCTCTGATAACTTCTCTGAGAGAGTTATTTGGGTTCACTTGCCAGCCATTGTCCCTCTGTGCATGGGGAGTCATAACATAGCAGATTAAACATGATAGAGGCATGGTTATAGCATGCTGGACCTCTTCCACCCATCTCTAGGCAATACCATTTGTGTGATATGGGTCAAGATTGAGCTGCTCATTAGCTTCTGTGTGTTGACTCAGTATATCTGCCTCATCTTTTGGGATGTTACCATGCTGTCCCTCAGGAGTGTCTGAACTGAATTATATTCTAGAATATTGTAGCTTTTCTTAATTCCAGCTCTCCGTGTTTTACGGATGCATATTTTTAAAAACAGTGAAAACAAGTCAGAACAAATTGAATAATATTCTCTGGTAAAGACAAGCTTTTCCATAGGAAAGAAGCCAATAGGAAAGAATGCAAAGTCTGCAGATTAATGCTGGAAGAAAATTTGAATTAGTGGTCTGCATTCTCTTTTGTTTCTCTGCTGTTGTAGTAGGCTTGTTGAGTGAAATGTAATGTTAAAATATTTAAAGCTTAATTTTGGGAGATTAAATATGTTAAATCAACCATGAAATTAGCCTGACCATGAAAACAACACTATGCTTTCTGAGATGGTAGATTTAACAGACTTAGAGCAGGATGGAAAAGGGCTATAAGTCCTTGCGCCTGAGAACGTGAGCCAGCTTCTGAGGACTTGTCTACACAGTGATTGATGAACTTGAGAACTGCATAATATAGAGATAGTAGGATAAGCATCATGTGGATACTTTCATTAGTGTAGCATTGCATGAGGAAGGAGTTGAGCCCTAAAGTCCATTTTCATTCTAAAGTAATCATTAGTCATTCAGGAAATATATAACTGATAAAACTGCTCTGTATTGACAGACCTCAGCTAGCTGAGAGTGGAGGTAAAGAAGAGGATTCAAAGTGCTCCTTAGGGCTGCCTCTCAGAGGTGTGTGTTGTCTGTCCTTTCTGAGATGGGATGTTGGACTAGATTTTAACCAGCACAGATTATTCTTGTTTTCCTGGAGACAGAATTAATTGGTCTTGACTAAGATGCACCCACAGATGTAATCTGTCAAGATTGAGAAGTCAAAGGCAAACTTTTGGAAATCATTCCTATTATTTCATGGTAATATGAAGACTTGGTGGTAGGGAAAAAGAAAAAAAAAAAAGTTGATTTGTTCTATATATGCAACAAATTAATCCCAGAGGAGCTATCTCAGTAATTCCTGAAACAAAAAATGAGTTAAGAGCTCTTACTTGTGTGTCAATATGCAGGGATCTGGGAACATGAAAAGACCTTAGATTCTGCCCTATTTGCTCACCAGGAATCAATACAAACTGAAGGTACTTGGCTACTGTATAGTGAGGTCTAGGCAGCTTTTATTTATTTTAAAGCTTATCCATCATAGATAGTGGTTGAGATACGTTGCTTCTCCATGTCTTCAGCTTCTTTCCTCACAGAAGCTTCTGTTCAGTGTTACTCCAAGAGATACTCATTTACAAGTTGAATTGCTATACCTGGTGTTTTGCTGAACATGTGGGTTTTTTCCCCCAAGACTGTTTGCTTCACCTGAATTTGAAGATATTTTGAAAATTACGATTATGCTCAACTATGTTAATGAGTGAGTGGCTTAAGTGCTGGAAGTGGTTCTATATTTACTTTTCTTGGCTGAATTGTGTGTAACTACTGGGAAAAGAAAAATGACTGTTCTGAAAAATCTTTTCTTTTGCTTCACTTTCACCATTGCGCATGTCTTCCTTTCCTCTCCTTCCCTCAGCCTCCTTTGTCTGCCTTTCCTGACACTTGATATTGCCCACTGTTGTTCTCACTTCCTACCAAGTTGTGTTTTGTGGTCTTTCCCAGCTTGTCTCTCCCAACTCCCCTCCTTCCCCAAGCACATCATTTACTCCCCAGTATTGCTGCCTGTTTGTCTTGTTCCCTTTCAGTCTGCCTGTCCCACTCTTGTTCCTTGAATCCCTTTCCCCCTCATCCTTGATGTCTCTTACTAGTTGGTAGTCAAAATGTTGGCTGCTTTAGGTGTCTGTTTCAGGGAAGGCAAGCACCTCTTCTTCTCTACTTCCTGGTTTTATGGAAAATCTCTTCAAGAAGAAAGATTGAAAAAATCTTCCTGTGGTTCTGTAGGAGCATTGCCAGCAGGCTACGGAGAGATATTCACAAATGTTATTAGCTAGTGTTAATTTTTTCCCTGCTTTAGGGATTATCACGACAAGGCTTACCAGATTAAAAAATTAACTATAAGAATGATGTAGAGATCCATACTTTTTGGGTTGTTTCTGCGATTATGCATTCTCTTTGCTTTAACAACCTGCTAGTCTTGATGCTTGAGTACAGTTTCTTCGTAGCAGCCCACTGGAGATGTGTACAGGCATGTTTCAGGAGGTGTTTTGAGGGCTCAGACTATCTGTCCATATGTGTGTGTGACCCATTTGTCAGACAGGGACACGTGAAGAGCCCTGACCTGGGAGACTGTCTGCCCTGTGAGCGTCACTCAGCACCCACTGGCTGCATGTGAATTGTCTGCTTCAGTGTGTGCCCATCTTCCGCAGCACAAAATGCCACTGTGAAGAGAAGATCTGTCTGAAGGAGATTTTAGAGGAATCGGACTGAAGAGAGA